AAATGGCAGCGGTCATAGCAGTGCATGACCCAGGATATAAATCATAGCTATAGGAATTCCTTTCCAGTGAACTCAGGACTGCGAACGGTTTTTACTTGAGAAATCAAACATTTTAACTCCTCAAACAGGCTTAACCCTTTCCAATTTTTCTTGGCCATTCAACAATTGGACTTTCATAATTCCTCTTTCGTTATTATTTCAGTTTTGTCATAATATGCTGCATTGATTGAAATATCCAATCTGTCGCAGAATATAAATGTATCTGCACGACGTGACTCGAAATAAAGATTGAATTTTGTCATGAATGATGTGTGTATACAGCCAGTATTTTACAAAGGTCTTATTTATCTATTTTGTGAACGAGACATTCTTTTTTACTGCAGTCGCTGATTCACCCGGCACATCACATCAAAATGACATAAAGGTAAATGGTTTCTTAAACGTTTTCATAATTGATTATTTAGACAGGTATCGAAAAAATCTTACCAGCCATTTTCTCTTGTTGATACATCGCCGCCATCTGTTGTAAACGTTTAAAAAAAAAAAATCTTGAGACAGATGATCATAGCCGTGGAATATAATTTGGATCATCGTCAATATTTTGAAACCGTACGTGTCACCCGAAGAACCATCCTGATCTGAGTGGTCTATGTTTTCAGTGTCTTCTTTGCTTTTCACTTCTCAGAATATCTATCTATCTATCTATCTATCTATCTATCTATCTATCTATCTATCTATCTATCTATCTATCTATCTATCTATTTATCTGTCCCTGACCTACCCCCGGGGGCGGTGCCACTGACTTAAGTGTCTTTAGGCTATTCCCAAAGGGGGGACATTTCTCGTTCATGCACTCTAGAATTGTAAACGGGCTGATTCAATAATGTCATGCTCAAAACTGTGCCTGGTCTACAACCGGGAACTGCTGCTTTTTCTTTCCTAATCCTTACTATCGTCATTTTTCCTCTTCTTCTTGTGTATGTTTGTCACACTTTTGTGACCCGCTATTTCCGGGCTGCCTTGATAGTTGAAGCAGACTTTGTTCTGTTGAAGCTAGAGAGGTGAGGAGAGTAAGCCCGATTCCCTGTAAGGACTTCTCTGTTGACATCCACCCCTTGGCTTTCATATGACCTTATGCAGTTTCGAGCGCCGTAAAAAACGCTACCAAAACAAGCATAAGACTTTATGCAGTTGCGAACACCGTAAAAACTTCTACTAATACTAAAAAAGCTGTCCCTTACCTGGGTCATCAGGCCCCGCCATGGGAGGCCAGGTTAGTCTGGCATCAGAGTCACGTGATTCTTTAGCGTTTTCTTGACCAGACCCGAGAGTCTGTAAC